AAAAATAAATGGGTTTAAATAATTTCACCCAAGCCAAGCATCTGCTCAAGGCAAGCCAAGCATTGGTCCAAGCCAACTGAACCCAACCCAACCGAACCCAACCCAACCGAACCCAACCCAACTCAACTCAACCCAACTCAACCATTGGTTAAACCCAACTCAACCCAACCTAACCCAACCCAGCCATTGGCTCAACTCAACCCAACTCAACCCAACCCAACCCAACCAAACTCAACCCAACCCAACCATTGATTCAACCCAACCAAACCAAACCCAAGCACCTGCTCAACTCAACCCAAGCATCTCCTCAACCAAACTCAACCCAACCATTGGTTCAACCCAACTCAACCCAACCCAACTCAACCATTGGTTTAACTCAACCCAAGCATTGGTTCAACCCAACCAAACCCAACCCAACCATTGGTTCAACCCAACCCAATTACCTCCCAACCCAACCCAACCATTGGCTCAACCCAACTCAACCCAACCCAACCCAACCATCTGCTCAACCCAACCATTGGTTCAACCCAACTCAACCATTAGGCCAACCCAACTCAACCAAACTCAACCCAACCCCACCCAACCATCTGCTCAACCCAACCCAACCCAACCACACATTGGTTCAACCCAACCCAATAATCTGCTCAACCCAACCCAACTCAACCATTGGTTCAACCCAACCCAAGCATCTCCTCAACCCAACCACTGGTTCAACCCAACCATTGATTCGACCCAACCAAACCCAACCCAAGCACCTCCTCAACCGAACCCAACCCAACCCAACCATTGGTTCAACCCAACTCAACCCAACCCAACCCAACCATTGGTCAACCCAACCCAACCATTGGTTCAACTCAACCCAAGCATCTCTTCAACCCAACGATTGGTTCAACCCAACCATTGGTTCAGCCCAATCCAACCATCTGCTCAACCCAACCCAACCAAAACCAACCCAACCATCTGCCCAACCCAACCCAACCATTGGTTCAACTCAACCCAACCCAACTCAACCATTGGTTCAACCCAACCCAACCCAACCACTGGCTCAAGCCAACCCCACCCAACCATTGGTTCAACCCAACACAACTCAACCATTGGTCAACCCAACCATTGGTTCAACCCAACCCAAGCATCTCCTCAACCAAACCCAAGCATCTCCTCAACCCAACCCAACCATATGCTCAACCTAATCATTGGTTCAACCCAACTCAACGCAACCCAACCATTGGTTCAACCCAACCATCTGCTCAACCCAACCCAACCCAACCCAACCATTGGTCCAACCCAACCCCAGCGTGGAGCCCAAGCCCCCCCAGCGTTCCCAAGCCCCCCCATCCCGACCTTCTTGTCCTTCTCGGAGCCGTCGGTGAGCAGGACGCCCTTGGCCTGCATGTGCCGGTACAGGACGCGCTGCAGCGCCGACATGTCGCACTTGATGACGTACTCCACCTGCCGGAGAC